AAGAACTAGTGAGAGGAGTTGCACCCTTCTTTTTAGGGGCAGTAAACCGTGTTATGTACTTCCCTGGCTATTCCATGCCTTTATCTTCCTCAAAATTTTTGGTTAGTGTGGTGGTTTGAAAGAAAATGTCCCCTAAAAGGAATGGCACTATTAGGTGGTGTGGCCTTGTTGGAGGAGGTGTGGCCTTGTTGAAGGAAGTGTGTCACTGTGGAGGTGAGCTTTGGGGCCTCATCAATATACTCAAGCCAGGCCCAGTGAGACAGATCACTTCCTGTTGCCAGCATATGACGCTCAGTTCCTTTTCCAGCACCATGTCTACCCGCACGCCACCATGTACACCATGATGACAATGGACTAAACCTCAGATATTGTGAGCCACCCCAATTAAATGTTTTCCTTTATAAGAGTTGCCATGGCCGTGGTGTCCCTTTACAGCAATAGAGTCCCTAAGACAGTTAGCTTTATGGGTATGGTTTTTCTCTGCATTTTCTTATTTCTGGCTGTTGTAGTTGGACTTTTTCATCTGACTTTCTTTGGATCACTAGTCCCCAAATTATGACTTATTATTAATTCTGAAAGCTTGGTCGTTATCTTAGGCTTGTTCTCAACCATATATTTTACCTTAAATTAATGTTTCTGTTAATCTATATTCTGCCATGTGGTTGTTTATCTCTCCTCCATTCTGTATGTCCAACTCTTTCGGTAACTTGCTGACATCAGGAGATTCTAGACCATGCCAGATTCTAGACCTTAATTTCTCTCTCTCCCTGGAAGTTCCGCTAATTCTCTTCTGCCTAGCTGGGGGCCATTCACCTCTTTATTAACCTAATCAGGTGCCTTAGACAGGTGAGGCAAAACACAGACAAATCTTCGCTCAATGTACAAAAACATCAACCACAACAGGGTTGGAAGGGTAATAAAGTAATACTGTACTCTTATAGTGCCTGGAATGGAAATTGTAGCACTGTTATTGTAACTGTCATGCTCTCAACCTTCCCGCCCCTTTCAAAATTTGGTAGTGGTATGTGTGGTGACAGGGTGTGGGGGACAGGGCCTTGTATGTGTGGTGACAGGGTGTGGGGGACAGGGCCTTGTATGTGTGGTGACAGGGTGTGGGGGACAGGGCCTTGTATGTGTGGTGACAGGGTGTTGGGGGACAGGGGCAGGACTCTTGTATGTGTAGAAATGAGGGGCTGAGCCTGGTGGTGGTGGCACACGCCTTTAATCCCAGCACTCGGGAGGCAGAGGCAGAGGCAGGCGGATCTCTGTGAGTAAAAGCTACAGAGAAACCCTGTCTCGAAAATCCAAAAAAAAAAAAAAAAGAAAGAAAGAAAGAAAGGAAGGAAGGAAGGAAGGAAGGACGGAAGGAAGGAAGGAAGGAAGGAAGGAAGGAAGGAAGGATGGAAGGAAGGAAGGACGGAAGGAGGGGCTGAGTTCCAGGACTAGCTTCTTTCCATCTGCAGTGCTCCAGCTGGTGGTTTTACTTGCTCAGCTGTCCCTTTGATACTTTATTGTTTTTCTCTTTTGCAGTTTTAAGTGAAGCTGTGTTAATTCAATTTTCATTCCAGCTTTCTTATAAACTCCTCATTTTATTATCTAAGTCAATCTCAGAAGTGGGGGGGGGCACCATCAAGAATTTCACTCCACCTGGGTGATGGTGACACACACCTTTAATCCCAGCATTCAGGAGGCAGAGGCAGGCAGATCTGTATGAATGAGACCAGCGTGGTCTACAGAATGAGTTCCACGATAGCCAAGGATACACAGAGAAACCCTCTCTCAAAAAAAAAAAAAAAAAAAAAAAAAAGCAAAAACCAAAAAAAGGACTTCTCTCCAGAACAAATAATTTTTTTTCCTCCCAACATCCAAATCAAATGTCTCCTGAAACCAAAAACTAGCCTCCCCAAAAGGGTCCCACACCGATAAAAAAACAATAAAAAAAATCATATTCTAAGTAGGCAATAAATTTCACCTTTTTCTCTGCTTTCATTTGATCTTCAAAAACTTGACCATCCTAGTAGCTTATGAAAATATAAACTACAAGCTGGGCGGTGGTGGCTCACGCCTTTAATCTGGACGCAGGGGTAGGTGGATCTCTGTGAGTTCAAGGCCAACCTGTACTACAAGAGGTAGTTCCAGGACAAGCTCCAAAGCTACAGAGAAACCCTGTCCACCACCCCCCCCCCCCCGCAAAAAAAAAGACTCCAGGTAGGCATGGTAGTGAATATCTTTAATCCCAGTACTGCCAAGGCCAAGGAGGAGCTCTGTGAGTTCAAGGCCAGCCTGGGCTACGTAGTAACACCGTGTCAAAAAAAAGATAGGAAAGAAAAAAGGAAAAGAAAGGGATATCTAAGCTGCATTCCATTGGTTCATTAAACATTAGAGATAATTTTAAAAGAAAATACTTGTACAGACTCACAATCAATGGCCCGACCCATTTGATGACATATATGGCACAGAGGTCAAGAAAGCGACGCACAGCACTTGTCATCTTCAAGGCTTAATGCTATTTTAAACAGCATAAATACAACTTCAGGTATGAAAGGGCATCAACGTCTACGAGACAACACTGATGTCTCAGTTGTTCTTCATGGAGACGAGCATTGCCAGACTGCCACAGTTCCCCATGTGTGAAGTATTTCCCTCCATATTTCAGCACTTCATTGAAATGTCGACACTCAGTCAGAAATTCTCATGTGCGGATGTTGAGATTAAAACAGCTGTCAAATCATTAATCACATAATTGAGCTCTCTTCCTTCTTCAGCATATCTACTCAGTAATGGAATACATTACTCTGATAACCTGATAACAGCCTCCTTTAAGATGACCTCAGATGACACCTCATGTTCTTCCCGTCCATTTGTTACATCTGTCAATCACCAGCCCATCAGTCTCCACCATAGTGACCACCTTTGGTTTCCGTTTAAGTGTTTCCCATATATGCCCCCATTCCCACCTCCCAGAATCAGTGTATCTTTGCCAGTATTGTCTTCTTTGCCACTGTCCGTGATGGTCTGGGTATATGCTAAGTCGCCTTTTGACAAATCAACATCCCCACTAAGAGTGAGATATTTCCAGACTGCTTAAGGTGCAGAATTTCAACATTTTGGTAAATCAAAACTTCACCATACACCACTTCATCCACGTCTTCCTCAACTGGACACTTATCAGCAGTTGGCCAGTATCTGTTGATGACCTCACCTTGAGCCACAGGAGGTAAATTCTTCATCTGTCAAATACAGTCCTGCTTCATGTCTTTTATTTTTTTCTTCTATTTTGTTTAAAAAGCTGTCAGCTTCTTGTTTGTCTTGTTCGTCACGGTCCTAGCTCTGAAGCTTCAGCAACACCAATACATGTGGCTAATTCTCAAATTGGCAAATCTGCCCTGTGTGGTGTGTATATGTGTGTGTGTGTTTGTGCGTGCGCAAATTGTGCAGTGACCCTGCAATCTCCTGTTCTTGGAAAATCTCTTCCCATTCTTGTTCCTGTTCCTGAAAAAGGAAAGGCCTTTTTCAGAATGGTTTCATCATTAGCTTTGGCATCGAGTATGAAGTCCAGAATGTGCTGTGCTGTTGCCACAATGTGGTTGTTTGAATAGGAGCAGGTCCCATAGACTCATATGTTTGAATGCTTGTCCCATAGGAGTAGCACTATTAGGAGGTACCACCTTGAAGTGTGAAACTGTGGTCTCGTAAACTCAAGTTACACTCAGTGTGGCACACAGTCTCTTCTTGCTGCCTGCTGAACAAGATGGAAAACTCTCAGTTCCTTCTGAGCACCATGTCTACCTGCACACAGCCATGCTTCTCGACATTATGGTCATGGGCTAAACCTCTTGAAGCCAGCCCCAATTAAATGTTTTCCTTGTGAGAGTTGCCTTGGTCCTGGTGTCTCTTCACAGCAATAGAAAAACAGAAACCAAGACACATAGTGAGAAGGCTTGTGCCATACCCCAGAGAGGCAGCTTGGCAGTCTTGGGTGTCAACAGGTGTATCAGACTGCACCCCTCTCCTTAAAATAATAAACTATTTTAATAAGCAGAGATAATGTCATGTCCATCCTTTCCCTCCTACCATATGGCAGTGACTGGCATACTGTAGACGCTCCGGTATTGCGCATATTAACAGTGACAAAAATGAAGTGACAAGGGCTTTAAGTTGTCTGTAGTGACTCCATTTTAGTACCTCAGATGAATTTTGTTTTGCAGAATATCTTGCTGTAAGGGGGAGCTTAAGAAAAACAACTCCTTATTTTTACTAATCGCATATTTTGGCTTTTGTAACTATCTACTTAGCTTACAACTGCGGGATGGGAACCTTGGGAACTTTACAGTCAGGATATGGACCACAAGAAAGGCTCAGGGCTGCACTTTGGTACTGAATACCCAGTTGCAGTCAGCAGTCTGGAATGAAGAATTGCAACCGGCTCAGAGACGGTGTCCCCGTGGTCTTCTTTGGTAAGAGCCCCCTAGCAGTAAAACTTAGAAGAATCTATTACAAGAGCTGAAAATTTTTCTAGAATTCGAATTACAGCAAAGGGAGGAGGGGCTAAAACCAAGGCTTGGGAACAGTTTCTTTCCTCTTTTTGGCTTTTGTTTTTCTCCGAGACAGGGTTTCTTTGTGTAACAGCCCTGGCACCTTATCCATCAAGCCTAGGCTTCTCACCCCACAACCTCCTGGGAAACAGGAGACACGTGGGAGGACGGTGGAGCGGGGAAAGGGGGGTGGGGAGAATGGGGATGGAAACGGCGCGGGGTGGGAGGGGAGAGTTCGCAGGGACTGGCCAACCCGGACCCAGCCAATCCGAACTGCGTGGCTCAACAGCGCGGTGGCTTCTGGGAACCCTGGCTTCTGGGGAAGGCGTTGCTGCAGCCGAGACTCCAATTCCCGGCGGCCACCGGGCTCGAGCCGGGTCCTCCTGTGGCGACTCAGCAGAGACTACAATTCCCAGCCATCACTGGGCTCCAGCCTGCCCCTGACAGGGAGGGTCCCTGATCTCAGTGGGCGGGGAAGTGGACCTCTCCGGCGCCTTGCTCGTGTCGGTGCTGACGGCGACTGACACGCGGTGCTGGGCTCCTTTCGCTTGCCCTGAGACTCCCGAGAAGAATGCCGAAGGCCAAGTCCGCGGCGAGTGGGCGCCGGCGCGAGCGGCTGGAGCAGAAAAGGGAGCTGAAGCGGGCCGGAGGTGCGGCGTGGAGGAAGCTGGGGGCGGATCGCGCCTGTTGGTGCGGACTGACCCGCGGCGGGGGAGGCTCACTGTGGCCTGCGCTCCAGGCCGCTCCGAGGAGGGTGCGAGCTCAGCGCCAGCCCTTCCCCGCGCCTAGTCTTCCCTGCTAGCAGGAGGGATGGATGGACTTAAAGCTGCACCCCAAACCCAGCCGTAAAGCGGGGCGCTGGTGGCATCATTGGTGCAGAAATGCCCCTGCTGCGTCTCTGGGACGGCCTGGGATCGATTCTTGAAAAGTTGGAAAATTAAGGCTGCTTCGTGTTTTATTCCAGGACTCATGTTCAACACAGGGATTGGACAGCACATTTTGAAAAATCCTCTAATTGTCAACAGCATTATCGATAAGGTGGGTGTAGACGAGGAAACGCATAGCGTTTATGTGTCATCTTTTCCGGAGTACTTACCTGGTATGACATTGTGTCGTGTGCCCTGAGACAGGGTGATGTTTTGTTCAAAGTCAGCCTGTGCTATACAGGGAGACTCTAAGAAAATAAAATGAGATAGGATGCCTGACATAAAATGGTGCTGTGTTTATGTGTTGAATGAGTTGAGTGGCCCAAGATTCATTCACGTGCCGTCTGTTGCATGCTTCGTTCTGAGTTCGTTTCTGCTCCCGACCTTCAAGTCCTTCAGCTTTCTGTGAATTATCTACCTCGTAGGTGGACTTTTTTTTTTTGTTCTTGCCATTAATTTCAAGATGATTTCATCACTTTTTGGAGGTCTTTTGCTTGTTTGTTTTTGAGACTGGATCTCATGAAACTCAGGCTGGCTTCAAATACTACCAGAGCCTGCCTTGAACTTGCAAGCGTCTGTGATTCTGACCACTTTCTAAGCACCATATCACTTACTCTTTATTCTAGAGTTTAAAGGTGTCGATCTCACACAGTTTTTGCCTCTGAAAAATATATGGAATGGTACTGCATATAACTTATTTGGAGGATTATTCTGTATCTGTTACTATGTTTTGGTTATGAATGGTTGCGTGCCAGGAGGTAAATACAGAGGGTACAAATTCTATGCTTAAAGGCTGACATCCTGGAGCTGTAGAAAGAATTTAGTAATCCAGTCTTACAGAATATGCTAGTTGCATGTATATGCACACAGTTTGTGAGGTTGCTCTATTCTTACTACACAGTGGTTAAGAACTGAGAGGTCTTGCTGCCACATGCTGACCCTAGGCAAGATCATCGTGCTCTTTCCCGTCTGAACTTGCTGATAGGAGCAGACTTGGTTACAGGTTGCTGTACCTGTCTCCAGTGCAGAAATCAGGAAGTCATGCATAGAACTGTTTGTTTTTACTTTTTTTTCTGACTCCAGAAGTTGAATATATTCCCGTAGGTTAGGAAATGGAGATTTATACCTAATGCCTTTGAGGTACTATTGTTAACAAGAAGAATGAAGCCAGAGTAAAATTTCTTTGTGTGTTGGTGAATAAAACCAGTCATTTATGAGCTATGTGTTCAGGCGGGCCAGAAGCATAAGGCGTTGTGCTTGCTTTTAGGCTGCGTTAAGACCTACTGATGTGGTGCTAGAAGTTGGGCCTGGGACTGGAAACATGACCGTCAAGCTGTTAGAAAAGGCCAAAAAGGTAAAGGGGGGGGGTGGGTGTCATGTGTTACTACCAAATTAGTTCAGCTGGTTTACAAATATAAATGTTTTAATTAATTGTCATTGTTTCAATAGTAATTATTGAGCTCTTCCAAATTTTAGCTGAAAATAAAATGTATTTATCAAGAACACAAAACCTACCCTTGGTGTATTGATGGGGGATAGGTACGAATTGATAGGAATGGGTTACATGCTTGTTAAAGGAGTAACAACAAAATAGGAATCCTGAGCTAACCCCAAACTAAATTGCAAAGTACAGTGAACTGTTGTGAAGCCTGAAACAAAACAATGAAGTTAAAAGTTATTAGGAACAAGCTCAACAACAGAAGACCTGTATAGGGTACAAGAGATAAAGGATGGATCTGGGAGTCAAACAGAAGAACACAGTGTCTGCCCTACAGACAAAGTCATGGAATTCAGTGAAACCTCTGCTGAAATATAATTATTATAATAAAATAATTTCAGCTCCATCCACTTTGATTCACTTGCGACCTTATGCCTTCTATTCTGGATATCAGATGAGAGCTTCTGGGAGAAGCTGTCTGAAAACACTGGTTACATAAAGTGTATGCTTTTCTTCATCTTCAGTTAAAAGCATGGAGACAGAGCAAGCAGGATGGTGTTTGAAGTGGTACAAGACAGCAGAGTGGGTGCTGATGTTAAGATGTAGCTCATAGAAGTTATTACTTGGTGGTAAAAGATTTATACTCAACGGTGAAGTTTCTTTTTCTTATTGTTAATATAGGTAGTTGCCTGTGAACTTGATCCAAGGCTAGTAGCTGAACTTCACAAAAGAGTTCAGGGCACGTGAGTATATATAATAATTAAAGTACATTTCAATCCTATGAAACAACATTCTCTTAAAATTTCTTTCCTTATTATTAGGCCTCTGGCCAGCAAACTCCAGGTTCTGGTGGGAGATGTATTGAAATCGGATTTGCCCTTCTTCGATGCTTGTGTGGCAAACTTGCCTTATCAGGTATTACTCAGACTATCAGAAGCATCCTATTTCTCCAGTATGTCATTCCTCAAATCTAACTACTCATTCTTTTTCAGATCTCCTCTCCTTTTGTCTTCAAGTTGCTGCTCCACCGACCATTTTTCAGGTTTGTGAAAAAACAACAATTAGTGCTAAATTTTAGACTGATATTTTAAGTCAGGAATACAGCCAAAAATTAATACAACTGAAAAAACACTAGAGAATATTTTTGTAGAACCCCACTATCTGTCTCTGGGTTTTTATTATTTGTGCTACGATACTGTTTCAGAAACATGTGTGTATGTGCACACACACATAACACACAAGAATACTGACTTCTAGGGGGTCTTTTAGTTTTTTTTTAGTCTTTTACTTGGGGTGGTAACTGTGTGTGCATGCTGTTTCCTCTACTTTCTAATACTCTTAATAAACATTGATAAAAATTTTCCTTACATTATGTCTAGGTACTTGTAGTAACTTCTTAACTAGTTAAAATAATACTTTAACATTGGTTAACATTGTTTAAAACCAGTGGCTTTGAAACTAAGTCACATACCTCCTCAAGTGTTTAAAACATGAGCTCATAAATTGTGGGAGCCATAACCATCCTTTTAAAAAATTGTGCATCCCTGCCTGTGTGCTTCCAGAGGTCACAGGGCAGCTTACAGGACCTCAGGGATCAAAGTCAGGCCCTCCAGGCTTGGAAACATGCCTCACCCTACTCCCGCCCCCATTCCCTTTTAAATGACAAGGAATAGATTACATTAGAAGACAACTACATATACTGTCAGAAAAGTTTTGTTTGGGATATGTAGACATATATGGATATACTTTGGAGGCCAAGGTAGGAGGATTGTGAGTTCAAGACCTATTTGGGCAACTTTGTGAGACCTGGTCTCAAAATAAAAAGCAGGAGAAAGGGCTGGAGGTATATATAGCTCAGTGGTAGAGAATTTGCCTTTGTGCGTGAGGCCTTCGCTTCAATTCTAAGTATACCACGCGGAAATCTCAAATAGTTTTGAAGATGTCTTCTCTTCACTAACCTTGAAACATTTTCCCATTGCTTACTGAAGAAGTTCACATTTATTATTATTATTACTTTTTACTGATTTTTCAAGACAGGGTTTCTCTGTGTAACAGTCCTAGCTCTCCTGGAACTCACTTTATAGACCAGGCTGGCTTCCAACTCAGAGATCACCTGCCTCTGCTTCCTGAGTGCTAAAGGCGTACACCAACACAGCCTGGCATATTTTAAATTGTTAAACCAAGGAAACACTGGACATTGTAACCTACCAGGCCAAACCTGAGATATAATTTCCAACTATACCACAAATATATTTCTTCTGTGGAGTCAACTTTACCATTTTTTTTTTTTTTTTTTTTTTTTTTTTTTTTTTGATTTTTCGAGACAGGATTTCTCCGTAGCTTTTTTGGTTCCTGTCCTGGAACTAGCTCTTGTAGACCAGGCTGACCTCGAATTCACAGACATCATCCTGCCTCTGCCTCCCGAGTGCTGGGATTAAAGGTGTGCGCCACCATTACCCGGCTAACTTTACTATTTGTTTTTCAGAAGGCATCATAGACTAATACTTAATATTGATACTAATACATAACAATAGATAAAAATGGTTGTTCATCTAATCCACGAGGAAAAGCCATCTTCCTTGTGGTTAGGTCCAGCTGTCTGTAGCAATAACACTTAAGGCTGAAAGTGTTCTACCTTTTGATCATACTGTCATTAGCCAAAGATCCTCCCAGAGCAATTCACTGTTGCTCAGTGGTTAAAAGCATAAGTTGCTCTTGCAGAGACAGGGGTTCTGTTCCCAGCACCCACATGGCAGCTAACATCTGCTGTAACTCCTGTCCTAAGGATCCAGTGACCACTTCTGACCTCCATGGGCACCAATTCCACACACAGTGCAAATACAAACATGCAGGCAAAACACTCAGAAACATAAAATTAAAAAAAATTAAAAAAAATAGCTGTAATTGAAGATGGACAGTTTTTTCTTGTTCCTTTCTGCCTCCTTTTCAGATGTGCTATACTTATGTTTCAAAGAGAATTTGCTCTTCGTTTGGTTGCAAAACCTGGAGATAAATTATACTGCAGACTCTCCATTAATACACAGCTTTTAGCACGTGTGGACCATCTAATGAAGGTATGTGAGGTTTTTTTTTTGTTTTTGTTTTTTTGAGACAGGGTTTCTCTGCAGCTTTGGGGCTTGTCTGTGTACTAGCTCTTGTAGACCAGGCTGGCCTCGAACTCACAAGAGATCTGCCTGCCTCTCTGCCTCCCAAGTGTTGGAATTAAAGGTGTGCACCACCACTGCCCGGCTGGTTTGCTTTTTTTTAATCATTAAATAATCTAGTTTAATTCATCCTGGAGCATTTGGCCTTGTCCTACAGGATTTTGTTCTCTAACTCTTACTAGCCATGTGCTGGATCCATGGTCCTAAACCAACAGAACATCGTTGGTTACCAATTTAAAGTTACCCTTACCAGGTATGGTGGCACACATTTTAAATCCCATTAGGCAGAAGGGTGAAGGACCAGGCCAGCCAGACCTACATGGTGAGACCCTGTCTCAAAACAAAATGTCAATAAAGTTGCTTCTGAGAGGACTAAACATTTTCTGATTAACAGGTGGGGAAGAATAACTTCAGACCGCCCCCCAAGGTAGAGTCCAGCGTTGTAAGGATAGAACCTAAGAATCCACCACCACCTATCAATTTTCAGGTGAGGTCAAAATACTAGGTCATTAAAGGCAAAAAATCCAGGTTGAAAAATGTCATTCTAAAGCAGCGGAACAATACTGACTCAACCTAAATATCCAAACAGAGAAGATGGGAATTACGGTGTAGACTTAGGATGGAATTGTTTGACGGAAAGTAGTTAAGCATACCAAACAAAAACATGGAAAATTTTTGTAAAATGAAAAATGATTAGAATACAAGAATACAGTTGCATTTCAAAACTTATGATTACAGGTGTTGGAAACACTGAATAAAACTTGGAAAACAATGTAAAATTAAAATAGTCATGTTTGAATAGTACTATGATAACACTTTCTTTTTGGTGGTTCTGAGGATAAAAACCTAAGGACTTATGCATGCTGAAGCAAGTGTGCTACCACTGAACCACATCCTCAGCCCCTGTGGCAAACATTTTTCCAATTAAAATTACTGGTTTTGTGACCAGAAGAAAAATGTAGATGATTTGGGATAAAATTCAACTAATTACATTAGAAAAAACTTGATGCACAAACTACATCCTGAATCGTGTCTGTACTTTCAATGTGATGTCTTGGTTTTTATGAGGTAGGGTCTCCTGTGGCTCAAGCTCTCTAGGTACTGTATGAATCACTTTAAACTCCTAATCAGTGATAGGCCTGTGCCACTGTCTTTAGCTTGAATCTATTTGGAAAGTGATCCTATGCCATGTTATGTATGGGGACTTTTTTCCAGTTGAATTCAGTGAGATTCACACAAATGCAGAAGTGTACATCTTTTTGCGTATGTGCCAGCTAGATCAAGATGTAGGCCATTTTCATTCCCTCTGGCTTTATATATTAAAAATGATCACAGCTAGCAGGCATAGATAAGCAGTATTTGAAGAAAATAATTCATCCTATATTTCAGGAATGGGATGGCCTAGTAAGGATCACTTTTGTTCGGAAAAACAAGACACTGTCTGCTGCATTCAAGTAAGTGTATTCTACTACTTTGTAATGGTGAGGGACCAGTTTTCCAGTCATAGCATTTAGTCCTTTACCCACAAAGAGCTGTTCTAAGTAGATTATTCATGTCAAACAGACTTCACCTTTTAAAATAAGTACTAGGCACTGAGAGACAGAAGGTAATAAAGAAAAATGGAATTGGGAGTCAAGTCAGGTTTCTCTTTGTAAAACGGAAAGACAGTAATTTAACCACACATTTCCAAGTCTTTGCTTTTGGGTTTTCTCCTTCTCCTCCTTTTATTGTGGGTGGGGACTTGTTGGGGTGCACATGTGAAGGTCAGAGAACAACTCTGAGGAGTTGTTTCCTTCCCACTTTGATATGTTCAGGGCATGGAACTCAGGTTATTAGGTTTACTAACTGACCCACCTTCTAGTCTTTCTGCTGTTTGACTAACTTGAAAGACATAACAGGACCTGGGAATCCTAGGGTAAAGGAGGTAAGGTGTGATTTAGAGAGCGTGGACATTTTTTCCTGGCCACACCAAAGACTGGGTCTATGACTTTAAGCACACTAGCTGAGCATTCTATCACTCTGACTCACTCAGACCCAGCTCCATTTGAGTTCCAGGCTGACCTTGAGCTTCCAATTCCCCCTACCTCAGTCTTTCTAATAGCTAGTACTATTATAGACCATTGCTACCAAAGCCAAGCAAGTTGTTCTAGTTGGGGATGTTTTGTGGAGTATCTAAGATCTCTTTAGAATTCCATATCCGTAGCTCAGCTTCGGAAAGTTAAAATGGTATGTAACTAGAGCACTGGAATTTTGAGGCCAGCTTGGGAAGCATAATGCAAACTAGTCTTTTTTTAAAGGACTGTGTAAAATTTGATTGACTCTTAAAGAACAAGACTTAGAGATGTTTATTAGGACTCTAATCTTTTTTTTTTAATATATGTTAGCTTTGAGTTTAAATAGTTGGTACCCTTTTTAAATTCCCGAATTTCATCAGATCATACATTCCTTTATACAAGGTTTCTCTGTGTAACAGTCATAGCTGTTCTGGAACTCACTTTGTAAACCCGGCTGGCCTCCAACTCAGAGATCCACCTGCCTCCCAAGTGCTGGGCTTAAAGGTCTGCACCATCCCACCTTTTACATTTTAAAAAATTACATGTGATGTGTGTGTGTGTGGTGTCAGAAAACAACTTACACAACTGGTCCACTTCTTCCTCCATGTAGGTTCTAGGGCTTGATTTCAGGTTGGGTAAGGCAGCAAGTGCCTTTACCGCTGAGCCACCTTGTAGGCCTGGAACATATATTTCATTTTGTCTAAATTTATGTATAATTTGATTTTGTGATTGTCACTTAATTTCCAGATCAAGTGCAGTACAACAGCTGTTGGAAAGAAACTACAGAATTCATTGTTCAGTACATAATACTGTGAGTTGAGTAAATGTTACCATTTCAGTGACTTTTCTTCACTTGAGACAGGGTCTCTGTTGTCCTGGAACTAGCTCTTGTAGACCAGGCTGGCCTCAAACTCAGACATCTTCTTGCCTCTGCCTTCCAAGTGCTGTGATTGAAGGCATGCACCACCTGGCTCTTTCACTAACGTTCACTTATAAAAATGTTCTTTTTGCCAATGTCTTACAGAGCACAGCCATGCTGCTTCCTACATCTGCTTGCCTTTCTGGATTATTCACAAACGCATAACCCTTTTTACTTCTATCTGTCCTAAGCATGCTTTCCCCAACACTTTGTGTTTCTTTATTCTTTCTCTAAGACCCCCCCCTCCCCGCTTTGTGGCTGATCTCAATGCAGACGTATTTCAGGCAGCATAGCTCTTTTTCTTCCCTCCTCCATTCTTCTCTTCAAGGTAGCCACCTAGATTTACAGCCTGCCTGCTCTGTGTATTTTTTTTTAAATTCTCATAGATTCCTATATATTCTCATATCTTCCTATATATTCTGTAGGACCCTTAAAGTCAATACACACTGTGTAACTAGTACAGATCTCTTGATGGTTTTAGAAATGCTCTTGCTATATAGCCTAGGCTGGGTTTGAGGTGAGGCACAGAGTAATCTTCCTGCCTCAGCAGTATGGACCACCATGCCTAGCTAACCTTGACTTTTAACAGGTTAATTTTGCTGTGAATTCTATGAACCAGGCCCTCTTTAACGTTTGTATTTAACCCTAGTAAGAGTTGGATTCAACTGTTTTACAGTTCTTCAAATACATAGATTAGTAATTACTTAAATGTGTATAATGTGCTAACCTAAACTGTGATTATCCCGTTTGTCGCTTAGTGACCCAGGCTATAGCTGAGAATGTCTTTAAATCCCTGATGCACCGTTATTTCCCAAGTGCTGGGATTAAAGGCATATATGTTACCACATCAGGTTAGTAATCATTAAAGTTACTAGTTTATGACATCTAGAAATTTTAAATAATAAGAACAAAGAGTGCGTTGAGTAGCTAGTTTATGGTCATGTGCCTCGTGCCTCTTAAAAGTCTGACTTGAATTTAACTATGGGAGTCCTCATATATACATATTACATGTGTACAGGCTAAGTTTGTTGGCTTTTCAGCATTTTTTAAGTTTGACAGAGAAGACATGACTATTTCCTTCATATTTTTTATGCCCAGATTCTCCTATGCTTTAATATACCACAGTACTATCTCCATTCTCGAATGTAGACAAAAAGCTACCATTTGAGTCTAAAAAAAAAAAAAAAATTGCCCGAATCAAGTAAAATCAATCACTGTTTTGTTGTTTTGAGGTGGTCTTACTCTGTAGCACAGGTTTGCCCTAAAATTAGGTTACTCCCCCTGCCTCCCAAGTTCTGGGATTACAGGGGTATAAGCTACAATACTCAGGGACATATAACTTACTTAAAAGAGAATCATTTCTCAGAAAAATTACCTGGTTGGGTGAGCTGTTTTTAAAAGATCAGTAATTGCTTTAAAGTTTTATTCACTTTATTTGTAAAGTCCGAAGCCTATTGTCTTAGCATTTTAAGATTGAAAAAGGGCAGTATGTGCATGAGAACTCAAAGTATTTCAAGTCTTGTGTCACAAAATCAGCCTGTGGAGATCCACGTCTCACCAAACTCTCAGGTGTTCCATCATTTACAAGTCTACATTAAAAGTGACTGTAATTACTGAACTTTAAAAAAAGAGTCATGGTATCTTCATTAAAGATATGTTGTTCATTTATTCTGAATCTTATATTGATAGGTAATACCAGAAGATTTCAGTATAGCAGATAAAATACAGCAAATCCTAACCAGCACAGGTTTTAGTGACAAACGGGCCCGTTCCATGGACATAGATGACTTTATCAGGTAATTACATTTGTTGTTGTTCTAAATGCTTACATTTCTTTGCTGTGGTATCTTAAGATTTAGAGACTTAAAGGCTTTTAAGCGGCATAAGGTGCTCCTGGGAGAGTTATTGCATAGCATTTCAATAGTGTGGAACAGTATTTGGTGTAGAGCAGTGGTTCTCAACTTTCCTAATGCTGTGACCCTTTAATACAATTCCTTATGTTGTGGTGACCCCCAACCATATAATTAGTTTCCATCTCTACTTCATAACTATAATCTTGCGACTGTTTAGAATCATAATGTAAATGTCTGTTTCCGATGGTCTTAAGCAACCCCTATGAAAGGGTCATTTGACTCACCTGAAGGGGTCGTGACCCACAGGTTGAGAACCACTGGTGTGAAGGATGGCAGCTTGTTAGCTGCAGAATGAATGTGTTAAGATCAGTAGTAAAGAACAGTCTGCGCCATAGATAGCCTGGGTTCATGTGTGCTGTGTATTTCTTTTCTACTGCTCCAACCCCAAACTCATTCATGGTCTTACTGCCCTATGCTTACCTCTTACAAGTAGCCTGTAAGGTAGAAAAATCATCATAACATATGTAACTGGATCTGACGATACATTATTTCTTTATTTTAGAATAGCTATTGTTAATCAGATGGTAACCATGAAATGCCAGTTAGAACCATGTCTGATTATCCATTTAATAGCAGTTGGTACCTGGCCCGAGGCAAATTCTACACCTGTTAAGATATATGGGCAATTGGGACCCAAATTTGTTTTACTTTGTACCAAGCAAGTTTCAGTTAATTACCCAATTGTACAAACTTGTATTTTAGTCACTCACACTCAACTTTCACAAGTTCCTGTACATTTTGTTTACTGTTTTCTTATATTGCTAAGGACTGCATTCAGAGGTGTGCACATGCTAGACAAGTATAAATTCTAGAATGTGTCCCCACTTCTAGCCAGTTTCCTTTTTTCAGTGCTCTTTAACTGCTGAGCCATCTCTCCAGCCCCTAGCCAGTTTACTTTTAAAGCATTAGTGTTCTAGACACTGAATTTTAAAAAATGAGAGTAGAGTGCTGTAAGACACGTTTGCTTTTTCAGTAGAACAGTCTAGAACTAAGACTTAAGGAAATATTGTTTTATTATCTGGCTAGCAGGAATACTGAGTCTTCACTGGCTGTTATTCCCACTATTTGAATGATATTCGTAAGCACCTACACATAGCTTTTCTAGACATTTTAATCCATTTGTACCTCTTCCTGTGGGCCATCCTGAAAAATAACCTCAAGTTCAAATACATTGTATTTTACACTTCATCCTTCCTCAGGGCACTGCTTTTTAACAAAAGTCAGAGAAGCACACAATATCCACAAAGAAAAGGAAAGTGAAAAAAATGAGTAAGAGTTCAGAGAATAGGCAGAGACGATTCATCTCACTTTCTCAAATTCCAGGTGAAATAGAGTGAGTGCTGATGAGCCAAAGCCAGGGACAGCAATCACTTTAAGGTGATTCCAATCAGAGCTAATGTAACTGAAAGGAGCAGCTTACAACAAGACATGCTTTAACTAAGAATACTTTGCCAATTTATTTGGAGAGTAAAGTTTTTTTAGTAACTAGTGATAGGAATAGGTGTGTACGTATGTTGATGTGTTTTATGTATTAATGGTACTTTATGGATTCATTTTCCATTTCTTTCCCTTCAGGTTGCTACATGGATTCAATGCAGAAGGCATCCACTTTTCCTAGCCATTTGAAAACAGGCTTTTTCCAAGACCAAGAAAAAAATGAAATTATAAATCTCTATTATTATTATCCATGGTCAAAGTGGTTAAATCTACATATTCTTGTTTTTGTTTTAAATATACTACAAAGAGCAGGGTTCAACAGACATAACCATTTTCAAGTTTAAAAGCCGCAGATACGCACAACCATACACTTAAACTTTCTAATAATTTATTGTATAAAGATGTTACTGTGTTATGGACTGTGAGGCCTACCTTAGGCCTGCAGCTCGGTCACCCAGTCACAAATCCTCCTCATTCACATGTACAGTACGTTACTTAACACGACTTTCCTTTACACACCCTCTTCATCCTAGACAGCTTCCATGTATTAATGCCATCTTTGTTAGATGACGTGTTGCAACACAGACAAGAGTACAGTTCTGGATAAGCCAGAGTCTGCTGCAGTCATATAGTGCAGGCATGTCCTGTATTACTCTACCTGTGAAATGCAGACGCGTAGAAAGAAGCTAACTAGAAAGTCATGTTAAGTCTGTTTTCTTGGGGGAGACAAGATCTATAGATTTCAGATTTAGAAAAGTCCCAGAGAGTTTATAAGTGAAATGGGCTTTATTAATCGGTGATTTTTTTTCTTTCATGAGAGGATCTTTTTTCTTTTTTTTTAACATCAACTTTAATCTCAGAATCTTGCCTCAGCCTTCTAAATGCTGGGATTACAGTTGTGTACCACTGTATGTGGTTTCAGTTTTCAGCTTTTTAATAGAAAAGCCGTTTACCCACAACTACAAGCTCCTGGTTATTCCTTAATTCTGGATAATTAAAATTTTAGTACCAGTGTTTCTTTTTAAGCTATTTAAAATTTGTCAGATTGAAGATTTTATGCTGCTTATATATTTTAATAAATTAGCTGTTTTATTTATATAAAGAAACTATCTTCATTGGTTATTTGGCTCTCTTTGTACCCAAAACTTAAAATGAATGCTTCTATACTTAAGAATATAAATTGTTTGCCTACCTAGATATTTTTTTTCCCCAAAATCTGGCTTAGGAGTCATATAGTAAATGCTATAATGACTATGAATAACTTAGCTATGAATAGGTAAAATAATGTGTAGCAGCCTTTAAATTTCAGAAAGGTCTAAAGAATATTTAAAACAAAACAAAAAGACTTTGTTGCAAAAGCTACTTTTGTCACATGAATAGTAACTATTCTTAAGGGTTAATTTTCTTTAATGCGACGGAACTATTTTGTAGAGTTCACTTGTACCATCTCCACCTCAAGGGAAACAATTCCACCTAACTAGGCATTTTTAGCTTGTTTCCCTCGATTCTCAACTGCTGCACTTTAGTCCCCTTTACTGGTTGGTCTCATTTTTCCCTCTGTAAAGCTGAATCGTATTTTACCTCCAAAGATATTTGCTGGTACTAATTTTCAAGTACACTGACTACGGATTAAGATGAAGCTAGCATAAGGCAGCATCTATACATATAAAAAGATCCTCCAAAGATAGTACCTATCCAGTGCCAGTAACATTAAACCTAAAAATGGATCTATAAAAGACCTTCCGAAGATAGTTCCTGTCCAGTGCCAATATCATAACATTAAAGCTTTGTGCTTAATGAGCAAGTTCTTGTCCTTATTGCTCATTACCTATGAGGTGTTCTCAAAATTTACCCTTTTATTGGAAACAAGGTCTTTCTACAAAGCTCTGGCTATCCGGGAACTCACTAAGTGGAACAGGCTGGCCTTGAACTCATACCCACCCGCCTCTGAGTACTGGGATTAAAGGTGTGTGGCCTCTGCAAGGTCAACAGAAACAAGTTAGTTCTTCTTCCTCTCTTGAAACCGACACAAATAGAATACATCTTACAACTGCAAAAAACCTGAGTTCCTTCCAAAACAAAGGTGAATATATTGAAGTACATTATTTCTAAATTTGTTTTTATAGATTTCATTTATTAATAATGATATTGTGAAAAAATCTACATTTGATTTAGATTTCATGTTTACAGAGCTTTACCCCATGGTGTTAGGATTCCTCACAGCTACCCTCTCACTTATGATCGTGAAGTAAAGGATCTGGCTCGCTGACTCTATTCATAGATTTCCCCTTGGCTCACTGAGTGAATCAGTAGGTTCCCTAGAGTTAATCAAGAGAAACATGGGAGGTTCTTTGGTTAACTTAATGGACTATATACTGGGAACCAAGGGAAAACTCCTAGAGATATATAATGTGTATATATATATATATATATATCTATAAATCTTTAAACAATATTTACATTAAAGTTGGCCAGTTTTCTCTTTTAGAGTAGCAGCTGTAAAAGTGAGTTCTGCCATTTATGGAGTAGTCTTCCTTACTATCGTTCTATCCACGAGATGTGATTCTCACCAAATGGCAAACCATCACATACTAGATATTGATGGAGCTTGCTATGGACTGCCTCGTAAGGCATCGACACTTCTGGGGGTTACATACTGTCTACGCTTGGCTATCTAACTTGTATTATGAACTACTTTCAATGTACATGCATCAGAAGCCAATTTCCTTTAACAGTACGTTAAATATGGGGTGCTAATAAACACTTCAACTTAAATAATGGCATTGTTAAAGATCAAATTACACTATTAGTCTTGTTAACACCACTGGCACACACACTGCATATATATGTATTATCCTAAGATAAAACTCTTCTCAGAATTTCGTTACTTTTTATTATACACCAACTAGTTTATATTTTAGTTTTTTACAAAGAAAATGCTAAGAAAATTATAATCACATATCAATGGTATTAAAATCATAATTCCAGATTTCTTTACATGTAAGATGGAATGATCCAGCAGCTATGTCCACTGTCACAGACTTTAGTTCCGTTCAATTGGTATGGCACATCCTGCAAAATTAACTAGTCACACACAAAGTCTCAAATACAGTAAAAATGTACACACAATTAAGGTAATTTACAGTTACAAATAAGGAATGTACGTTATCTTGGCTGTGCTTCAGAAATCTAGGGTCAATAGCCTTAGTCAAGGCACAGAGGAGGAGCGAGCACAGCTGTTTCTAGGAGTGTGTACAATCACTGATGAGGTATGCATGCACGCAAAGTATTCAAAATTGCTCAGTCTTGCTACGAAAATGGATTTGAGTTAAAGGAAATTTTGTGGCTTCCCCCACTCTCCACTTCTGGATTACTTCCACAATCTTTAAATAAAATTGGCAAGGATTTCCAAAAGCAATCACTATTTGGGTAAATGAAACAAAATACTTCACTAATCCCAATTATTTGTGCCTCTTGGACTAGAAGCATTTTGTAGACAAAGAAGTGTTTCATAAAATTGAAATGTCATTCAGGTGAAGGACAAGATATTTTCCACACACTTAAGATTTCAAAAACGTTCAAGTGGCCTTTACATCTGGACCACCATTTGTTAGCGTACTGGGGATTCTGGGGGATCCTTTAGTAGCAAATACCAACTTTAGAGGGCTCGGGGCCTCTTGGGGTTAATTTGCTTGCTGGCCTGTTCTTCTTCTTGTAGCGCTGCACGAAAAGATTTCACTTTATCTTGGGAAAAGAAGAGAACAAGGGAGTAAGTATTGTACAATAAATAAGCAATATGGTGCACAACTTTGATAGCATATCAAGCTAGTACTTAACAAAACTCAGTATTTCTCTTGCTTTATGTCATCTAGTCCCTCAGAACTATGTGTACCTATAACAAGTCTCATGGATGCCTAGTAAAAGCCTGTTTGTTTTTCAACCAGTTTCTCTAACATATTTTAAAGTGTTAAGTTAAATTTGTTCTATTTGGGGGGGGGTGGAATATAGGCAAGCTTTTAATGTTGAAATATGTAGTCCTATCTAAAAGGGAAATGATAAGTACTACTGAGATGTAATACTTCTTTCAATATTATGAGATTTCTACTAAGCCCCACTCCACCTTTTTTAAACTAAGAAAATTTAAAAGCTGAATTAAAGAAAATAAATGACATCTGTTGTCTCACCAGGTAAACAGGATAACACTTAATTGTTCTTATATATTCTGTCTATTACCATGCAATGACCTACAGTAACAGGACTACCAATTTGTTAATAAACTGTCAGGGAAATTACAAGCATGGAAATGAGACATCATTCTATAGCAGTGGTGCTCAAATGGTTGCTCCAGGAACATTTAGTAATGTCTAGAGGTTTATCATAACTGATATGGTACTGTCCTCTAGTGGATAAATGCTTGTAAGCAAGGACGCCCAAACATTTTACTTTGTATAGGACAACAGTCTTCAACAAACAATGGCCTCTCAAGCTCTAAATGGTGTCAACAATTATTAACTATCTTCCCTTTGTATGTTTTCATCACATAAAATCTGTTCACAACTACACATCTTAATATTGTACAAATTTCATACCAAACACTAAGATGAAAGACAGATTACCTCGTAGCTCAGTTAAAATGTCTATTTTCTGCTCAAGAATAGCTTCAAGTTGTGTAGCATATGAGTCAACATCATAGTCGACTTCTTCAGTCATCTCTAAGAGAGCTTTTTCATCTTCTATCCAGCGAATCGATTCCTAATAATAAGAATTCAACACAAAATGACTTGTAAACTGGTATGCTTTACAAATATTTATCAGAGGAGACTGGCCTACAAATCATGAGTTCTGAGTCAAACAATGGAAGCAGATATTCTCAAAAAAAAAAAAAAATCAGCAGTAGACATGACATCTCCAAGTCACTGTAAAATCAATTTTTTGGGGGGGGGGGCGGCCCAGGAACGAACCCTGGCATTCTGTGTGAATGGTAAGCAAGCATCCTACCACTGAGCTACATCCTTAGACCTGTTCATTAAATAATAAACTACCACAGGGAGATTATTTGCTATCGCATATCCTAACACATACATGACTAAGGAATTTTAAAAGAACTGTGTTCTAGTCAAAGGATTCTTAAAATTTTCATGAATTTAAGGCCCGTTTGCAAGAAGGCCTTTCCTTACATACCTGAAACACTGCCCTGTGGTCTTCTACAACCTGTTCTTCCATTTCTACCATTTGGGAGACAGCTTCATGGAAAGTAAACAGTTGTGGAG